CTGTGGGATGTGGAATTGCATCGTCTTAGGCGGACTCGGTCCAAAGTTCTCATCGTCCTCATCGTCGAATTCCTCGTCACTGTCCCAGGAAGAACGCTTGCCGCCTCCGTTCTTGGCTGGGGTCAGAACGCTCATTCCCGGCTTCGGGGTGGCGCGGAGGTGGCCGGTGGGATGCCGCTTACGGCCGGTACCGGGGGTTGCGGCTTTGAGGGGAGAGGAAAAGATCTCGGCGTGCAGTTGCGGTGCTTCGGGCTCTGGGCTGGAGATCGGAGAGTCGTCGAAAGCGTATTTCGATGTGGATAGTTTCGGGGTGACGGTGAATTTGGAGCGGCTGGTTGTGGTGCTGTAGCCTTTGCCTAGAGGGGTGGCTTGCACGCGGTAGGTCTTGTCGAGGACCCGGTGCATGACGGGGTCTGATGGCTTTTGGTGGGGATCGCGGCGGGCGCCTGAGGGTTGTTCGTGTGAGGCGGGAGGAACGAACGGTGAAGAGAACATGAGGGTGTCGGGTGGGTTGCGCGCGTAGTCGTGTAGTCTTGGAGGACGGCCTGGTGTGCTGGGGAGGTTGGAGTCGTCCATATCGAAGGGGTGATCGGTTTCGTGGATCTCCTGCTTGAGGGTTTCGTAGGGGGACGTGTATGACACAGCGGAGGTGATTGTCATGTCGTCATGTGGTCTCTCATGGCTGGCTACTCGAGGCGTACTGTGAGAGGATACGCTGAGGGACGTCAGGTCAAGATCGTCAGCTCTGTGGTTGATGTCGAGGCGCTCAGAGGACGGCGTTTCGTAGGACACGGCATCGGTGAGATTGCTGTGGGTAATGTCTGTGGAATCCTCTGTGACGGTCTGATCTTGCGTTGTATCTTCATCGGGCCTCTCTTCGTAACCAGAAAGAGAGACGTTGGCGCTGGCCTCGAAGAATTGTTTCCAAAACTGGTCGCATATAAGCTTTGGCCGAATGGACCTCTTCCGAGTAACCAACCTTCGCTCCCTCCCAAACATCTCTCGAATGTTCCGCATATTGTTCGACTAGAGGGAGGATACTCGTTGTAACGATTCGGTGAGCTTGGCTAAAGTTATGGTCGATTTCTGTTTGATTGAAGAGATATCAGGTCAGCGTGGAATGAAGTCAACGGGTGAACGGCCATTGTTTACCTTGCAGGGTTAGAGTGATGGATTGCTCGAGCTTCTCCAGTTCCTCCGTCAGCGTCAGTGGACGCTGAGAAATGGACGATGGACGAGACATAATGACAGTTTGACTTTTGTAAAATAGTACCCCTGGTGTAGAACAGATGTTATGGCATTGATGATCCTCGGGGTTCGTTGTTGACGTCTTTGACGCGGGGACAAAACACGGGATGCCGAAAGCGGACAATAGAGGGCTGGCGGATAAGGGTTGCTGATATCACGTGGGGGCGCAGCGGGGAAGCGCCGGAGATGACGGCGTCACCTGTTATCGTTCAAGTATCCTTCTGCCTGCTGTGGAAGGTGAGGAGGAACTGAACAAGAGAAGAAGGGGCAACAGGTGGTCAAGATGCCTTCGCCAGTCGCAAAAGGTAAGATGTCTCGTTACCTTACTGAAATCACTTATCCATTCTTCCCTCATCGAGACTACTATGTCCTTCCCCGACCAGCTGGGCGGTGTGCTTATCAGTAGACTACTATGCTGATCGACATGATGAGTCGGACATATCTTTAGCAGCTCGTTCATCTCGGCCTACTGGATTGAAATCTTTTCTAGACTGCTGGACTCCGCTAACTCTGTGATGAAGGCATAATCATAACGGTTTCAGCGCTCGTCGCTGCTGGCATAGCGGTCTATGAATCGCCCCAGTTCCGAGAATGGGTGAACAATTCTCGTCGTAAAATCGCGCTGGCTTTACACAATCTGGGAGATGAAATTCATCCTCGAGACTCGACATCTCCCCTCAGGGAAGATATTTCTATGATGGAAGAGGTGGGCCCGGCGGCAGAAGAACGGAGACGGATTGCTCGTGAAGAAATCCAGCAGAGAGCTGCTGCTCTTGAAGAACGTCGGAGGCGACGACAGGGTGTTCAATTGGGCTCTTTTGATGCCCTTGTGGACGAAAATGGAAATCTATTGAGGTCACACAGTCCGGAGGTGACTGCCAGTACTCTTGCGAACTCGACCGCTGTGGACTTGCCATCGCCGCAGCTTGTCCACCGAGGAGCCAAAGAGGCGGATGTGTCGACTTCCGTGGGCGAGATTGGACCGGCGGACACAGTGACCGACAATGATAAACCACATTTACAGATTCCATCCGCTGGCAACCATTCCGCGTCTCTTGTCGATCTTACTCCTACTTCTGATGATACAGACATGGACTTCTTCGCCTCGGCTCATGACAAATCGGAAGAAGCCGAGCGGTCTGTACTTTCCTCCACAACAGATCAAGAAGGAATGTCTTCGTCGAGTCATACTGAGGAAGAATCTCAAACCATCTGTGACCATCCTGAATCATCACTTATCGACACCAATCGCGAGCTCCGATCGCCATTCTCTGACCTATCCGAATTGAACACCACGGGGTTCGAGCAGCAAGAACGCTCCTCCACACCGTCTACCGCTAATAGTTTCAGCCACGTTTATGAGTCCGCTGAGGACGCAACGTCAGATGGCACTTTGAGTGACCTCGGAAGGTCCATGGATGGTGTTTTCACTCCAGCCAGTTGGTCGGAGGTTGGTAGTGTTGTGAGCAACGACGACTTGGGTCACCACGGGTTTTGAGGCGCAGGAATAGGTGAAACTATGAACTGGGATATTAGGGCGCTAATACGGAGTAGTTGAAATCACAAGGATGGATCTGGCCGAATGGAGTTTGTGGTCTTTGGCGTTATACTTCGGGTATCATTTTGGCTTGCTTTAATTTCCGAGGGTGTCTAGGTAGATAATAGGCAACCCAATCCCTCCGGAGCAAGTTTTGATTAGAAAATGAACTTTGTTTTAACCTTGGGAATCGCATAGACTCGGGTAAGAGAATCTAAAAGTCACTGTACCAGCTCTACCACCTATTGGGTGCGGTGGAACAAGGTCAGGGTACGTGTCGGATGCGCTTGGACATGATGAGCCTCGGCTCCCGCTCGGCTTTGCAGCAGTAGATAAACCTCAGCTTTTTGCCTCTTCCGCTATAACAACTTGATATCTACTTATTCCCTGCTCAAAAATCTCCTTTGACCTTTCCCCCCTCAGCCTTGACCACCCCGTAAGTCGTACTCGATTTGCCCCCCAGAGTCTACCCATTAGCCAGAGCTCCGCATACTTGAGCTTTCCCCGCAGACTCAAGGTGATTGATTAATGATCATCTTGGCTCCTTTGATTCTTCCTCGGATCCTTCCCTTGCCACTCACTGTCATACTCTATGATATCTATCCTACCGTCAACTAACACTTGCCAAACATAGAATTACCGTCACAATGGCCGCAGATCGCCTAAGCTCACTTCTAAACCACCTCCGCCCCTCAGGAGGAAGCGGAGTCTCCGCCATGTATGCTTCATGCCTGCCCCGACGGCGGACCATCACATACTGACCAACGCCAGCACCCAGAAGAACCCCGACGACGTTGTCATCACCCTCGCGCTGCGGACGCCGCTCACCAAGGCCGTCAAGGGCGGCTTCAAGGACACCGAGCTGGACTACATGGTCTATGCTTTGCTGAAGGAGGTGGTGCAGAAGTCCAAGCTCGACCCTGCGCTCATCGAGGATGTCTGTCTGGGCAATGTACGTTTATTTTTTTTTCCCCTTCCACGCGGAAAAATAGATCTTTTGAAGTTGACGGGGGGTGACAGGTCAACGACGGCAAAGCCGCCTACCTCGTCCGGGCCGCCGCCCTCGCCGCCGGAATCCCCCACACAGCCGGCGCCTCGTCGGTCAACCGCTTCTGCTCGTCGGGTCTCAAGGCCGTGCAAGACATCGCGAACCAGATCCAGCTGGGCGCGATCGACGTCGGCGTCGCGGTCGGCGCGGAGCTGATGTCGGCGGGAGGGGACCGGCTCCCGCGCCCGTTCAACGAGGAGGTGCTCAAGAACCAGGAGGCGGCGGACTGCATGCAGCCCATGGGCCAGACGTCGGAGAACGTGGGCGCGGACTTCAACATCACGCGCGAGATGCAGGATACGTATGCGGCCGAGTCGTTCCGGCGGGCCGAGGCGGCGCAGAAGGCGGGCTGGTTCGACGATGAGATCGTCCCGATCACGACCAAGGTGAAGGACCCCAAGACCGGGGAGGTCAAGACCGTGACTCTTACCCGCGATGAGGGCGTGCGGTACGGTACCACCGTTGAAGCGTTGAACAAGATTCGGCCGGCTTTCCCGCAGTTTGGAAACCGGACGACTGGTGGGAATGCCAGTCAGGTCACTGACGGAGGTAAGCCGCCCTTGCACTGGCGTTCCATATCGACGTGTTGACGAAACTAAATCGGTCGCCAGCCGCTGCTATCCTGCTCATGCGCCGCTCCAAGGCCATCGAGCTCAACCAGCCCATCCTGGCCAAGTTCTGCGGCGCGACTGTCGCCGGTGTGCCGCCCCGCGTGATGGGTATCGGTCCCACCGCGGCGATCCCCAAGCTGCTGTCCAAGTTCAACCTGAGCAAGGAGGACATTGACATCTACGAGATCAACGAGGCCTTTGCCTCGATGGCCGTGTACTGCCTGAAGAACCTCGGTCTGGACCATGCCAAGGTCAACCCGCGCGGGGGCGCGATTGCCCTCGGCCACCCGTTGGGCGCGACGGGCGCCCGTCAGATCTGCACGGTTCTCAGCGAAGCGCGGCGGACGAAGAGCAAGATCCTGGTTACGAGTATGTGCATCGGCACTGGCCAGGGAATGGCTGGTTTGTTTGTGAACGAGCAGATCTAAATGTATATACACAACCAATCCATAATATTTCAGAATGCAGAATGCAGAATGCTCCAGGCAAGGGTATTAAGTCGTCATCACATCACGCCATGTCATCGGTATATCATAGAAAAAAAAAAAAGAAAATCATCTATCACCTCCCTGTCCGCTCTGCCGCTCTCTCCGCATCCTCTCCTCCGCCGCGCGAGCCATAATCTCCCGTCGACTTTCAACACCGCCGCTCTCATCCCTCAACCCCCCAAGCACAAACTCCCCCCCCAGCCCATCTACCATAGTTGACACTAACAAAACACACCAACCAACACAACAATACGTGCACCGTAAACTCTAAGAATACAATAGAAGGCGTGAGTGACATAACACGACCAAAGCACC